AGACCCTTCTTGTCATGATAGATCTTGCAGATACCTTCCTTGATGACGAAGCTGAGTTGTCTTTCTTGAAGTTGTCCTACACTTAGTAGGTTTGTTGTAAGTCCTGGAACATAGAACACATCTATGATAGATAGAGACACCCCTTCTACCACCAGCCTGATTGTACCTTTGCCTGCAACTGCCATCTTTGTCCCATTTCCCAGCTTCACATTGCAATCTCCATTATCTTCCATGGAGGTAAACCACTGTTTCTCTCCACTCATGTGGTTGCTGCAACCATTATCCAGAAACCACCAGGTGTCTCTCTTCTCACCAGACTGTGTGTCCAGTAGAGCCATTGAGGTCTGCAACCTCTCTTTCTCTCTTCCTCAATTTCTTCTTTCTTCTCAACAAAGGCCATAAGAAGAACATCATCAATCATATCAGGATAGGATGATTGTGAACGATTAGGATGTGAATCGTGACTAGAATAGTATGCATGCTGGTTACTGTACCACTCAGGGCATTCTGCCTTGAAGTGGCCTAATTTGTGGCACTTGAAGCATTCAACCAAGTCTCGATTCCAACCTCTCCCTCGACCCCTGCCTCTACCCTGATATGCACCTCTCCCTGGACCCCTTCCACCTCTTCCTCCATAGTCATAGGTAACTTTCAAAGCATGTTCTTCTTCTGAGGATTGCTTGACAAATTTTTGCTCATGAACCAACAACGAACTTTGCAAAGCCTCAACACTCAGTTCATCTATGTCCTTTGATTCTTCGATAGAACAGACTATGTAGTTGAACTTTGGAGTCAGAGTCCTTAGTACCTTTTCTACTATCTTCACATCTGGCATCTCTTCTCCGCAATTCCGCATTGAATTGGCCACTGTCATCACCCTTCCAAAGTATTTTGCAACTGATTCCCCTTCCTTCATTTGCAGCAGTTCAAAGCTCCTCCTGAGGCTTTGAAGTTGTGATTTCTTCACTCGATCGCTACCCTGGTACCTTGTATTCATTGAATCCCAGAGCTCCTTGGCAGTTGACTTCTGAGTAATTGTTTTCAGAATACTTTTGTCAATGGAGCTGAAGAGATAATTCTTCGCTTTGAGATCTTTCAATCTCCTGTCATCCAGGATCCTTTGCTGAGCTTCAGTCAGCACCTCATTTTGTGCAGGCTCCCTTATTCCTTCCTGAACCACTGTCCAATATTCCTTGGATCGCAGTAGATTCTCCATCAGCAAGCTCCAGTGATCAAAATCCCCATCGAACTTGGGAATACAGACCTGGGCAAAACTGCTCTCACTCATATTGATCACTCACCATGAATTAACTTGCCTAACGTGTTCCCTCGTGTTTCCCAACCCAGAGAATCACTCAATCAACTTTCGTTTGCTCACAGATCACTCAACACACTCTTGGTTACAGCTCGCTCTCTGCTCTGATACCACTATGTTGTAGTAGATGTATTGCAAACTGACGATCTTATTCATTGATAGAGACTGAAATTTATACAGAGGACTCCTAACTAAAGCCATCAAACTCGGCTTTGACAACAAACTTCAACATCTCAATCCCTGAGAAATAGCCCTCGCAACTAACACTCTGACTCTGCAGATTCTATCAATTGCAACGGCTAGTTCAACTAACTGACTCCACTAACCATGACACAAACAATAAGGACTGGAACTGTAAAATACCAAACGACATCACTTTAACTAAACAGACTCTTGACCTTTAAACACTGACGCGCAATCCTTTTCCAGACCGGATTCGGATTCAGTTCAACATCCAACATAAGCATCAGTCACCATCTAAGTTATTTCTAGTTACTCCTCATGCTTGCTCTGTACCTTGGTAATTTTTTTTTTTTGCTAATACTAAAATAATGAAATTGGGTTGTCTCCAAAATTCAATATGGGAAAAACTGTCATCCCTAATTCAAACAAATCGTTACATCGAAGTTCCTACTTACATGTAGCCTTTAACATTGCCCCGTATTAACTACATTGTCATTAGCTTTATCATTTTACCATGAGATTAAAACTATAAGTTTGACGATCCTAGCTAGTAAGTGTAGCTACATGTGTAGTTATATTTCAGTATTTGGCATTAGGTATTATTTTGTTTTTGATTTGTATCATGTTGGATTGGGCGGTGGCCTTGTTGGGTTGGATGGGTGGGTCGGACCTTCCTTTTTCTAACCTTTGCTAGGCTGCATGTTGTGCTCGCGTCAAAGATTTTGGCAGATTAAAATTGATAATATATCGATGGTATTATATAGGGCTAATACCACTGGGAAACCCGAACTATTAACTTTGTGTCATTTGTGTCCTAAAGTATTCGATATGACATTTGTGTCACAAACTATTTTTCCGTTAGAGTTGACTGGCGTTGACCGTTAGTTTTTAACAGAAAGTCCAGTCAGCGTTGATGTGGCATCTGACATGGAATTTTAATATTAATTTTTAGTTACTTTTGCATCTAATAAAAATTTTAAATAAGAAAATAAAATAAGAAAAATTATGCGGGGACAGAATCGCATTTGACAACCCCTCTCTGCCAAATCTGCTGGGACAGAATCGCCTCTTTCCGCCGGGATAATGTTAACCTCGTCGCGTGCGAAGAATGACACGAGCGGGAGAGTAGGGAAGAGGAAGAGGAAGGAATCGGGGATGTTCCGTCGCGAATTCCGGTCGAAGGGTTCGTGGGTTGTCCTCCTTCGCCTCCGCTGCACTTCGCCACCTCCGCCGCTCGACCACTCCGGCAGCCTCCACCTCCGTCATCTGGATAATATACAGCCAAATCCAGCAGCCATCGTCAAAACCATCCCCTGCGATTTGTAACCATCCTTCACCATCTTCTGGATGTTCTGCCCTGCAATTTGTTTAAAATCCCTAATTCACTTCAAATCCTAATTTGTAACAGGGGAGAAGCAGGTGGTGGTGCTCGCCACAGTAGAAGAAGCAGAGAAGAGGGTAAACTGCAAATTGGTGGCAGACCTCGCTGCAGAGAGCTTTAAAGGCCTTATGCTGATTAATCGGGAGACACCCATCAAATTTTGCAAGCAGCCCACTCGCAAACGAACGATTCTTTATTCCAAATTTGAGCTGGTTCCCAGATTCAACCTTTCGATTGGTAAAATTGCAGAACAAGAGTCTATCACTGAAGTAACGGCAAACCTGTAACGGAGAGGAAATTTTGTTATGCAGAGAAGAAATCGGAGATTGTAGTCTCCACCTCAGCCACCTCAAGCTGCTCCGCCTCCTCGGCGCCGGAAATTTGTGTCGGGTCTTCCTCTGCAGAATTAGGGATTCGAGCGACTCTGCCTCCAGCCAATTCGCCCTCAAAGTCGTCGATCGAGATACCCTCAGCAAGAAGAGGAAAGCTTATGCGGGTTTCTTTTTTATTTTTTATAATATTTTTTATTTTTTTATTTAATTATTAATTAAAAATATGAGGTGTCATTGACGTGTCATCTACGTGGCTGCCACGTCAACAAAAGTCAATGTTAATGTTGACTTCCGTTTAGTCAACCGTTATCTATAACGGTCAACGAAATCGTCAGGACATAAATGACACACAATTATCATACGTTGTGACACAAATGTCATATCGAATACTTTAGGACACAAATGGCACAAAGTTAATAGTTCGGGTTTCCCAGTGGTATTAGCCCTATTATATATGATATATGAACCTCTCCTTTTCCTCTACTTTAGGCTCCCAACCAACCTGAAGATAAGATCATAAGACGATACCCAGCTGCCCGCTTCCCTTTTCCTTGGCCATTGTTTCCCGCCGAAGAAAATAGAGGAAATGTAAGTAAAGAAAATGAGCATGTTTCATTTGACTGCATGCAGCGGAAAGAGGAAAATTAGTGGAAAAGAGAGTATCATTTCATTATATAGAAAATGATAGCTCGATTGTTGCGTTTGACAAATCAACTTGCATGCTGGAGGGAGAACCATATATAATAATTCATTTTTGACAAATATAGACAGAACATTGTTGTTTTGATGCGTTTAGAGAGTAGATCGAGACACAAACCTAACACCGAATTCTTACTTATGAAGGCATAAATAAATGGGTGCATTCATGTATCGAATAGATTGGAGAATTCACAAGTTGGATTACATGAATTGATGAATTAGATACAAATTTTTTATCTTTATTGGACGCAACGACTATTATCGAATGATATGGAAAATACAATGTTACAATTTTCAACTAGCTAACCCGTGCACACTTTTTATGAATATAGACAAGAATTTTTTTTTTTTGACGACAAAATATAGACAAGAAGATTACGATAGCAACATGGAGAAAAGGGGAAATAAGTACCACATTGCATGAAGTTGTCTGGATTCCAACGCATCACCATTTCTAGATCACTCAACTGTTTTACTAATCGTTTGGTTCCAATAACTCAAAGTGTTGAATGAGGATAAAAATATGGATTATCTTATGTCATTTAGTAATACGTCATCTCCGAACGAAATTCACATAAATCTAAATATAAAATGCTTGGCAATTGAAAATCGTGAAAATTCGAACGCAAAACCTCTAAAATCGTAGACTAATTCGTTGGTCATTTTGTTGTGTTATGTCCGGCATTCCAATCGAAAGATCGAATTGTTTTCTGTAATTTCCGGTTAATAATGATTTATATATTTAATGCATGTCTTGTGACTACCAACCACGCCGCAAAGGCACAAGGCGAGTAACGGTAATAACGACCTAACAACCACACCGGCGGCCATTTTTTCCCCCATGGAATGGCTATTTCATTAGAAAAACCATAGCTCTCATAGAAAAGCAGCTACAGGTCAGACGACAACAATATTCAACAAACCAACAAAAGTAGCCTTCCCTCCCAGCCCCCAGGACAGGACCACCGCAGAGGGTAATTAAAAATTCTCCCAAAAAAAAATCATAATCATTCATAAATTCCCGATTAATTATGGTACTGATGACGAAGGAAATTTATATTATGATCCGAATGAAGAAGAAGAAAAATAATCAAACTTGAAGCGACGCCGTAGCAGCCCAAAACGGCTCCCAGTTGAACAAGCCTTTCCCATTCTTGTTGTCATACTGTCCCCCTCCTGCTACGCATCTCCAGGCGGTGTTGGAGTATCTGTTATTCCTCCTCCTACTACTCTCACTCTCCGTCATTCTCTCTTCTCCTTCTCGCCGGCTAAGGATTTCTCCATTCCCTTCCGCAATTTTCTCGCTGGCGGTTACGGAGGAGGAGGAAGAGTCAAACTCGGAAGAGTCCCTGACCACGTGGAGCCTCAATCGGCCGTCGATCCTCTCCGCCTCGAAACACGACGGCTGGGATCGACACTTGACGGCCTCGATCACCAGCCTCCCTCCTTCCCTGTGGGGCCTCCTCAACCGGACCAGCTCCGGCCCCCTCATCGTCGTCAGCGGCGGCGGGAAATCCCGGCGAGCCGCCGAATTACAACCACCGCTCCTCGATCTCTTGTAGGCTCCACAAACCGCCGGCCGCGATGCCTCCACCGCCGTGGTGGGCGTCGGCGAATTCGATTCCGGTTGGGGACCAGCTTCCCGTGGCGGCGAAGGGGAGAAGAGGTAATTCCGGTCATCGTCGGTGGCGGAGGCGCTGTCGGACCCGGTTTCGGATCCGAGATTTTCGGTGCAGAGCTGGAGTGATTTGTCGCTGAGGGAGGAGCGTTTTGCCGCGTACGGAGGGGAAGCGGGTTTTAGGATTGGGGAAGAAGGAGGAGTCGGGTCGGATTCGGATAAGGTTTGGAGGAAGCTCCACCCGCCCGATTCGGATGGCTTGAGAGAGAGCTCGAGGGAGTGGTGGGAGGGTTTGCGTGCGGAGAGTCGCAGGCGGAGGGTTCTGGGCTCGGCCATCTGAGATTCGAGACAGGATTGGAGGCCCTGGAAAACGATTGTACCCATTTTTGGGTTTTTGGGTTGTTTGTTGTTTTTATAGTCAAAGTTGAATCCTTTTGGTGGATGGATTACTAGGAGAGGAAGGAAAAACAGAGGAGAGGAGAGGAGGGTGGAAACAGGGGAGTGTTGTCTGTGTTTGTTTAGAGAGGGAGGTTGTGGATGGAGAAGAGAGATGAGGGCATGAGGTTGAAGTGAAGAGTGGGAGGGTGCATTTGTAGGAGCCAAAAAGTGATTGCAACAAAGTTTTTTTATTTTTATTTTTATTTTTATTATTGAATTGGCAAAATGGAAAGGAGAAAAAACAGAGGAGAAAGGGGGCCTTTTGGCAACCACTTGGAATTTTGATTGACAAAATTCCCAATCTAGCTCGCACTGTTTAAGAAGGAGGAGAAGAAGGAATCAAGGCCAAAAAGGTTGTGAATTAAAAAGTTTCCATTAGTTTATTCACCTCTTTGTGTTTATGAGTGAATTCCCAAAAAAAAACAATTAGTCATTCAAAAATATACTACTTTAGTGGTATTGGAGAAGTTTACCATTATAACCAAATTATACATCTCCTATTTCCTTAAACTTGTATCCTTGATCTCGTTGCATTATGTGTTCGTATTGCATTTTTTTTTTTGTTTTGTTTCAATGACCAAATGCATGTACCGCTTGCACAATACAACATGGACCAAGACTTCATTGATGTTAGTTCAAGTCACAACATTCACTTCACACTAGACTTTCAAACGGGTTAATTTTTTTTTAATTCTCAATCAATAGACAGGGCTCGCACTCGGCGGGGGAATAATTATCAAGGACCTGAGTGGTTCGATTGTCTTGACCCGGGGAATTCATATTGAAGATATTGATGATCCGCTTACAGTTGAACTCTTAGTGCTCCGTGAGGCCATCCAGTGGTGTTTCGATTGTGATCTCTCGCGGGTTCAGTTTGAAGGAGACGCGAAGGTGATCATCGATAAGATAAACCAGGCTAATGCTCAAGATAATCATTTAGGAGCCATTCTTGCAGAAGTTCGTGGTTTATTGGCAAACCTTAATGGTCTTAATGTATGATTTGTAGGTCGGAACACCAATCGGATAGCCAATCTGGTGGCTAGAAATGCCCTTTCTTTGTCTCCTACTACGTGTCGCTCTTTTGATTTTCTTTCCTGGTTATATACCAGGCTGTAATCTGTTCGGTTTCTTAGAACATGAGAGAGTGGAAGACAAAACCGAAGAAAAGGAAGCGAGTAAGGAAACACGAGCAGAGGGTTCCCAAAGTAACACATGTTAACTTTCAGTATGGGAAGTAATGAGCAACGAGAGACCCCACACAAGAAGCAAAAGCAATGGAAAAGACAGACTCAAGGAGACCCAAAGGCGAAGAGGCAATTACAAACTCAAGTTACCCCAAAAAAGAGAGGAAGTGACCAAGTTCAGAAATCAAAACAAGAAACCCCAAAGAAGAAGTTGAAAGGAGAATCCCCAAACACGAAATTGGATGGCGGTGTGGCCGGACCTTGTTCAGCAAGGCCGTCCAGCCCAATGAGTCTTATTAGTTACAACTGTCGTGGGCTAGGGAGATCCACCACAGTTAATAGAGTTGCCGAGTGACTCAAAGCTGTAGACCCCATCATTGTCTTCCTCATGGAGACAAAGCGACAAGAACATGAGTGGGAACAAACGATGATGGACCTCGAATGGAGGACATGAATAGGTGTAGGCTCAAACAGATGAGCTGAAGGGCTACTACTGATGTGGAAAGAAGATCTTAAAGTTAAATACTTAATGCTGAACCTAACTGGATTGATGTGATGGTGGAAGGAAAAGCATGTGAACATGATTGGAGGCTCACATGCATCTATGGTTGGCCTCATCAGGAGAATAAACACAAGACTTGGGACCTAATGAGAAGACTAAGTAACCAACAAGCATGGCCTTGGGTGATTTGTGGTGACTTCAATCAAGTTTTGGGATATTAGGGAAAAAATGTCTCAAGACCTCCTGACATTCATAACATGGAAGCTTTTCAGGAAGCAATGGATGTATGTGGAATGGAATACCTAGGCTATCATGAGAATTTATTTACTTTAAATGAGCTAATTCAATAGGAGGAGCTCATATGGAAACAACGATCATGAGAGGACTGCTTAAGGGAGGGGACTGCTACTTCCACCAGAAAACCACAGACAGACAACAGAGCACGATAAAGGAATTACAAGGGGAGGATGGGGTGAAATATAATGGACAAGAAGAAGTAACCTACTATATGTTCGAATACCTAACTCGACTCTATAAAGCAGGCCTGGTTACACCATCGTCTGAAGTAATAGAAGCAGTGGAAACAAAAATAACAAGAGAGATGAATGAAGAACTGCTCAAACCTTTTTCTGAAATGGAAATATGGAATGCCCTAAAGAAGATGGCTCCAACAAAGGTCCCAAGGATTGATGGAATGCCGACCCTTTTCTTCCAAAGAAACTGGCAAACAGTAGGACCTGCAATCACGGAAGAGTTACAAAAAATATTAGCTTGAGGGGCTTTTCCACCAAGTCTGAACAAAACGCTACTGGCAATGATTCCAAAAGTCAAGAAACCAAAGTGTCCAAAGGATTTTCTCCCTATAAGCCTCTGCAAGGTCATATACAAAATCCTATCCAAGGTTATTGCAAATAGACTCAAGAGAACTCTCAATGTTGTGATAACAAAAACTCAAAGTGACTTTGTCCCTGGAAGAAACATTACAGATAACATTATGCTTGCTTTTGAATGCTTCTTTGCTATGAAAAACAGGAAGGAAAGACGGGGTATGTAGCAGCAAAATTGGACATAGAAAAAGCTTATGACCGAGTTGAATGGTTTTTCCTGGAGGCTATTATGCTGAAATTGGGATTTGATGAATGTTGGGTGGACCTAATAATGAAGTGCGTAACAACAGTCAGTTACTCAGCCCTGGTTAATGGTCACCAATCCCCAGTCATAATACCTACAAGAGACCTGAGGCTAGGAGATCCAATCTCTCCATACCTTTTCTTTCTGTGTGCAGGAGGTCTATGTGCCCTAACTAAAAAGGCTGTGGAACGAGGAGAATTGCATGGAATCCGAGTAAGCAAAAATGACCTATAATTAACCCGTTTATTTTTTTTTTGCAGATGATAGCATTTTCTTCCTACAGAATACTACGAGGGAAGCAGCAGTACTAAAAGAAGATCCTCAAGCAGTACGAGATGGAGTCGGACCAACAAGTAAGCCTAGAAAAGTCAGAGCTATCTTTCAGCAGCAACACCAAAGGAGAACAGAGAGACCAAATGGCGGATGTCTTAGGCATGAAACAGTGGATCATCATGAAAAATACATTAGCCTCCCAATTGTTATAGGAAGATCAAAGAAAGGTGTGTTCATTCAACTCATAGACAGAGTCCGGAAAAAAGTTAAAATGTGGAAGAGTAAGCTACTGTAACAGCTGGTAAAGAAATTTTGATCAAATCTATTACTCAGGCACAAGCAAATTATGCAATTGGTATGTGTTCCTTATACCGCAAGGAGTTATTCAGGAGATACAGAATTTAATCGCAGGTTTCTGGTGGGGAAGGAAGCAGGAGGAAAAGAGAATACATTGGATGAGTTGGGAGAAATTGTGTCGATCAAAGCAAGAAGGAGGAATGACATTCAGGGATCTTCATGGTTTTAACTTGGCACTTCTAGGAAGACAGGTATGGAATCTACTAAAAAAATCCTACCTCCCTAGTAGCACAAGTTTTCAAAGCCAAATACTACCCTAACTACTCAATCCTTGAGATAGAGGTTGGCAATAATCTAAGCTACATTTGGAGATCTCTGATGGCAGCTCAAGGTGTGGTTAGAGAAGGAACAAGGTGAAGAATAGGGGACGGGAAGCAAGCCAGGATATGGTGGGATAAATGGATACCTGAAGGACCAGACTACAAAGTGGAAATACATATGAATGGACTGAACTATGATGCTAGGGTGGCGAGTTTGATTGATGAAGAGACTAGAACTTGGAAGAGCAACTTATTACAAAGGAATTTTCAGCCAGAAGATCGTAAGAGAATCGCTCAGATTCCCCTACCACGTCATCCTTTTGAAGATACTAGGGTCTGGGGCCCTGCGAAACAGGGAATATACTCGGTCAAATCTGCCTACTATCTATGGGGTAAGAAGAAGGAGACTATAGAGGGAGAGAGATATGTCCCAATTGATTGGAAACATCTATGGCACCTGAAGATTCCACCGAATATTAGAGTGTTCATTTGGATATGGGGCAGTAATATACTTCCAAACAGGTTCGAATCTCCTACACAGGTAAATGAGGCTTATGAGGGATGTCCTTTCTGTGGTTTACTAGAGACGGAGGAACACATAACCCGCGATTGCGATTGGGGTGGGAGAGTGTGGCGTCCCAGTTCGCTTGGAAAAATCTTTAGCTTGGGAGAAAGCAAAACCAACGAAGAATGGCTTTGTGAGGTGATGGAAACATTGACGGATGAGGAATTGAGTTCATTCATAACATCCCTATGGTTTCTATGGAAGGAAAGAAACAACCAATTGTTCAATAACCCTGAGCTAGAAGAATGGGAGATCATTGCTCGATCTGAACAGTATCTAGAGGAGTTCAAAGCAGTGAATGAAAAAAAAACTCACTAGTCGATTTCGGCAAAACAAGATTATAGATGGGAGAAGCCTGGAGTGGGAACCTTCAAAGTGAATGTTGATGCTGCGATTCTCAATGAAGGGGGCACTGGATTCGACATGGTAATTCGTGATGATAAATGGATCTTCAAATTGGCAGCAGTCCACCAAACAAGTACGCCCTGGATGGCGGAGCTTGCTGAAGCGAAGGCAATCTTCTGGGCGATGCGGTTGTAAATTATTCACCAGTACCGACCGATGCTAGTTGAATCAGATTGTTTGTCAGTTATAAACAAGATTCAGGAAGAAGATCAATCTGATTT